GTATCATTCCCTGTTGCCAAGAACTAAATATCCGTGGAGAGATTGTTACAGATCCTCTAATATTCAATATCATATCTTTGTACGAAAATGTCCCCTTACTTATAGCTTATACCCAATATGTCCCATCTTTGAAGCCTAGTAACTCTCTGGGCAGGTGAAAGATCTACTCTATTCTACTTCCCAGACATAGCCAAAAGTCTCCTCACATATATCCAGCCAACAGGATCTAGTCGGATAGACAGTAATGACATATATAGTGTTATTCTGACACCTTAAATTCTGTCGCATTATAGTCACAGGACCCTGCTAAGACAGATATGTATAATAATGTACGGGCCTTGTAAGGAGGCTTGAGGGGGGTGTTGGAGACTAGAAATTCCGATTCTAAGCAGGGTTACCCTACTTAGGGTGGTTCCTAGGTATCGGATCTCAGTACTCCTAAAAAGAGGGGTTGGTAACAGGATGCTTATATAAGGTCCTGTTTTGCATAATACAGAATAAAAATAAAAATAAAAAAACCAAGTTTTTAAAGAAATATTAGTGTTTGGCAAGCACAATTCTTTTCTTTTTATTTCAATAGTTGATGATTATTTGGAGCATAATTAATAGTAAGATATAAATAGAATAGATTTTACTTAAAAATTGAAGTATAAAAATATTTCCCTCTACCACAACTATAATGGAACTTGCTATTTGTAAAATATGAGGATCATCAATCTTGAATTGAGATTGTTCATCTCTCTCCTGTTAATATATGTTTAAAGATGTTTTTAAATAGTAGAATTGTAGGCCAGATTATTGAAAATCTGAATATTTAGGGAAAACTTATCAAGAGAACTTTTTTTGTTATAAACATCTATTACTTTACCATTAATTGAATATGTGCAAGGATAAATTATATATATTATTGGAAACAAAATACTATAATATTATAATTCAACTTATGAACTAGTATAACTTAATTTTTAAACAAGTAAATAATTTGATACTAAACAAGAAAGAGTTATTCCTATCTTAATTGTCTTTGATGAATTACAGACTAAAAACAATACTGAGAATAAAAAAAACAAAGTTTTAAAATACCATGGTATTTTAGTATCTATCGAACACCCCTTGAAAATTTTAGTTTAATACAGAAGAAAAAACTGAGAATAAGTGAGAAATACTCAGTTTTTCTGACATGCCAAACAGGGCCTAAGTTTTTTTTTTTTTTTGTTGACAGTCCTAGACCTGGGTGGCAATGAACTTATCATACTGTTGCGCCGTCACAAGTAAGCAGTAATCAATCAATTCCTGGAGAATTTCTTGAATACTCCCATCCGACACCAGAATCCCTTCTCCCAAAAGAATAGCTGGAAAGGATCTTTATGAAATGAAATTTCTCTTTGTTTGTGGGACGGGCCCCCAACACAGACCTCAATTGCGCACTATCCCCCTCCCTCCGGGTGGCACTAAGCCAGGCCAAAGAGAAACTCGGTTACACGAAGAACTCTTGGATTGACGGTACAAGCACCTCTCAAAAACCTTCCCCAAGCTTGGGACTCCACCGCATCTACTCCCCCCATTTTGAAACCTTAGTTTAGCCTCTAAATCCACTCCACAAGTCTTGTCTCCCCCCGCCAAGAAAGGTTGTTAGGGCATAGCCGCGAGTGATATTACATGATGCATCTTGAAACAATGTTGTCAAAACACTCGACATATAGGCTACTTGATAGGGTGCCGAGAATGATAGGGTAGCAGGAACCGCAACCTACTTGCGCGAGCCACCTTTTTTTATAATATTCAGGTTTAGTGCCATCTCCCCTCCGGGGGAGATGCTGGTTTCGCTAGCCCTATCATTCTCGGTACCCTATCAGGTATCATAGTCTGGTCTTGGATTAACAATGAGACTTGAAAATCCTATGGGTGCTTTTCAAGATGGATCATGGATGGGGGAGGAATTATATATAAGCATCAGGAAAGGTGGCTCGACAAGACTATTATACCACATCACCCTCACCACTCACGATTACTAGGTGGAAAACTTATTATTAACGATTCGTATATATCGCGCGCGCGCCTCCGAAAATCGTCAAAAACGTCACGGGAAGGCTAATCATGTCTGATTATTATTCCGGAGAAGAGAGAGGAGCCAGAGGGGAAAGGCTCCGTGATTCCAATTCCCCCGGAAATTCGACCGGAGGGATGGTGTCCCGGTGGCTGGACGCTGTGAACGCCTCCACTGCAACGACCGCAACTCAATTCTCAAGAGCTGGTACTCCTAGAGAGGTGGTAAGACGAACACAAGTTGGCGAGGCGGTATCCCAAACCTTCAGCCAGGAAGTCAGGGATCTATTCGGTATCTCTACCTCCCCCATCACCAGACCCCCACAACCCCACCCGCATCTAGCCGCTCTCACATTCCACTTCGACCCCCCCTCCGCCTTTGACTCCTACGATACAACACCCAACACTTCCGCCCTTTCATCCCCATCCCAGCCAATCCGCTCTTCCAGTGGACCCAGCCAAGGACCCGCGTCAGCACAAGCAAGCATAGGTCAATATTCATGGCGCGACTCCCGTGTTCAATCTGAACATCGGGATAGCGCCTTGTCCGTTCTCGAGCAGCGATTTACCCGTTATTCCAGCGCTCCTGGAAGGGTTGCGACTGGGAGCTTTCAGCCGGGGTTTACTGCTGGAACGGGCACTCAGCGGACGTTGGGGGATATAGCCCCCGAAGAGACCGACGCGATCAGGAGCTTTTGGGCGGAGATTGGGACTGAAGCACGTAGTGGATCGGATGACGAGTATGCTTATGTGGCGATGCCTGGGGGGGCCGGTATTGGGTATGTCGATTTGGAGGAGGGTGGGGAGGAGGAGTATTTGAACGAGTTGGCGAGTGAGTTAATTTGCCGCTTTGAATACCCTGGTATTACGCAGACTTCTATTGCGACGCCGGCTTGGAGTGATGTTTCTTCGTCTACTTCGAGTGGGTCCTCGCTGAGCAGTGGTGGGTTACCAGGCTGGGGCATTGCGACCCCACCACCACCGTTCTTGGATGGTGAGACTTCGTCGGCTGGGGTTGGAGGTTGGGGTAGTTCCGCCGAGGGGATGGAAGGGGGAGGTGGAGATGCGGGCTCTATGCAAGAGAATCCCCCACACCCATTTAATCAGATAACCAACCTCAGCGCTCCATCCACACTCCCACCCACCTGGGTTGATACTGATACCCTTGCACCGTTTGTCTTTCCTCCTTCGCCAACTAGGGAAGTTCCCTCTATATCAGCTCTTAGTCCGCTACGACACCCTCCTTCTCCTTCACCCACGTTCACACCGGAGGTATATCCCTTCCACGACAGCCCCCGCCCACAATCCCAAGAGCTAGAGAATTGGATAGCGCAGAACCTAGCAGAGTACTCCAACCTTTCCTCCACCTCCGCCTCCGCCTCCGCCCTTCCTTACGCTAACCCCCCAGCATACCCCAACGCGCGCCAGAATCCCACAGCGGCAGACACAACCACTTGCCCAATCTGCTACGAAAATCCGGTTACACGTGGATTCCCGTGCAGTATTCAGGGTGCACAGCACGGGCTTTGCGGCCCGTGCTTCGCAGTGTACGAGGCTTATTGCACGGATGTTGTGCGGTGTCCGCTTTGTCGGCATGAGTTTTTTGGGAGTCAGGTTGCTGTTGTTGGGAGTGAGGTTGGTGGAGAGGGTGAAGGGGTTGGTCTGGTGGATGGTGATGAGGGGTTTGAGGTGGGGAGTGAGGTGGATGGGGAGTATGAAGTTGTTGATGAGGAAGATATTGAGTTTTATATGGGTGGGTATGTGTTGTAGGTATGATATGTTGGTGGATCGTGTATGGTGTGAATGAGATGGGGGTCAGAGGAACTCAATTTGGGGAGTTTTGTCCTGTTTTGCTCTTATGCTCATTGGGTCTTTTTTTTTTGGGGGGGGGGGTACGGGTACTTACGACTAACCACGATACAGCGACTGATGAATATTTCTTTTGTTGGGGGGGTTAATAGAAATGAGGAGGTGATAGATATCAAACCAATTCTTTTTTTTTTTTGGAAATATTAATCTAGAATAGCCTTTCGGCAGTGGTTTGTTTTGTTTATTCATTGAATATCACTCGAGTGTATTTATTAGTGGGCTGGCTTAATATGCCGTAAAAACTCAGGTATGTATCATAATCGAACCGTATGCTATGTCGTTGGAGTTGCCTCCTCTATTAAGGTCGGATGTCTTTTTTTTTTGGTTATTTTTATGTCCCCCAGAGGGGATGAACAGCTCTTTTTTTTTTTTTTTTGCAGTGTTTCTCACCCCTTTTATAAAGGCGGAACTTCGGGAATACATAACACACGGTTTGAATTTTTACTGTAAGATACTGTATATAGTATTATACAGTCAGGAACTCATAGCGTCTTTCAAAGTGGCGGGTACTGTACAGTACTCGAGTATGATACCTTGGCACGGTTAGTGAGTGATCCGCCAACTCACCATGAGCTGTGCAATTCGAGAAAGGCTGTCTTGGCGGAAACAACGACATCATCTGGTTTGGTTGAATCCCGTGAACTCGCGACCTAACCCACTCCCAGTCTGTCTTCCTCACCCTCATTCTTTCAAAGCCCTTAGCCTGAAACCACCCCAGCATTCGTCACCGCCCACGATGTCTGACATATCAATGCCTGATGCAGCTCCCTCTCCCTCACCAACAATTCCCCAAAAGCGTTCAGTTGACATAGACCTCACAGAACAACCACGTCTAATGAAGCACAAAGAGAAGGCAGCCCCTCGTGAGCCTCGCGAGAAGAAGGACTCTTGGAAGAAGAAGGAGTCTTCGAATGTACCCTCGCCTATCGGTACCGGCTCGGGTAAGCACACTCCTGGCGATGACTGGCCAGCTTTGATGCGCTTCCGTCTACCTCCCCCGCAAGAGCAGGATTATTACGGACACCGCGCACCACCGGTAGCCCCGTGCCCGATACCGGAGTTGGAGAATGAATTCTTTTCGGTGAATGATCAGTGAATTGCCCGTTCGCTACCCGTTTTTATCTAATCTCCGTGCTAACGTTGATAGTCCTATGAACCGACGAGGTTTCCGTTACACGCCCTGCGAAGCAAGTCGCATGCTCCCCACTGTCTCCTACCGAAATACAGAGTATGCCCCCTACGCTCCACGGATAAACTTTGAAGACATGAACGCAGCGGTCCACGTAAATCGCAACGGTAGCGCTATCACAACCGCTAAGGGGTGGAGAATGGCACGCGCGAATGTCGGTGTTAGGGAAGGGGACTGGTACTACGAGTGTAAAATAGTCCGCGGGATCCCGTCGGGTGGCCATGTTCGTGTCGGGTGGGCCCGGCGTGAGGCGCCGTTGGATGCGCCGGTTGGATTTGATGGCTACTCGTATGGGATCAGGGATTTATCAGGGCAGAAGGTCCACATGTCCCGTCCGAAGGATTTCCTGGAGGAGAATTTTGAGGAGGGAGATGTCGTCGGATTGCGAATTTGCTTGCCAAGCCTAGATGTGCAGAGAGGTCTCACGGAGGACCCAGTGGTCAGAGCCCGAGATCTGATACGTGATCGTATCCCCATCAGATTCAAGAACCAGCTATGGTTCGAGCAATTTGATTACCAGCCAACGAAGGACATGGAGGAATTGATGAACCCAAGCCCAGGCGCTAAAGCCTGTACGCCACCAAAAACACTTCCGAATTCACTCATCAAAGTCTACAAGAACGGCAAGTACGTCGGAACACCCTGGGAGGACCTCTTTGCCTTCTTACCCCCCGCCTCGAGACCTTTAGCTACCGCAGGCGGACGAGAACTCGACGACGGGACGTTAGGTTATTACCCCGCTGTTAGTGTATTTAGAGGTGCGATTGTTGAGACAAACTTTGGTCCGGACTGGCTGGCTCCACCAGACGTGGAAGATATTTCTGGGATGAGACCTTTATGCGAGCGTTATAACGAGCAGATTGCTGAGGACATTACTTATGACATCGTGGATGAGGTTGGTCTACTCTTCACTAAAGTGCCTGGAGTGGACGATGCCACAGCTGCGCCGGGGGTGGCGGCGGAAGGTGGAGAAAATGGAGGATTAGTGAAAGAGGAAATCAAGGAGATGGTTATGGAGGATGAGTAATGAGTAGGGTGTGCAACATTGTATGTACTATAGGCGTATCAGGCTTCTATATTTCTGTCTCTCCGAGATAACTTTTTCTCCTTTGCTTCCTGCGGACATCTAACTGGATAAAATACCGGCAAGTTTTATCATATGTTAATGATAAAGCTGGTGTTTGGTGGTCGGACGCAGTGGGTTGAACTGTGTTTAGTATTAAAATACCATGTACAGTACGGTGCACCCCGTGGCACTAATAGTTCAATTTAGAACCCAAAACAGCGTAACATATTATTTCTCTAGAACTTCCCTACGCTCCACTGATATTTCGCTGTGTATTTCTGCAACAGAGTGTCTTGGGGAGATGACTCCTGGGTTATCGCTGTAACAGGATGTTCCTCCTTTCGTTCTCGAACAACTCTAGTTTTGGGCATCGGTCCATCTGCAAAGGTCTAAAGATGGAAAATATACTACCAATTATGAAAGGTTCTGTACGTACTCGAAGATACCGTATCATATTACCTTTCCTTGTAACTTATTCTCCACCTGAGTATGGTGCATTAGTCCAACATTCATCAGGGCAGCATATTACAACTGGGTGCGTCCCTACTCCCGCTCTACTCGTACCAGCTCATCGCATTGAACTCTTGCAATACCCGATATAACAATAGTTACAGCACTCGGTCCGCCCCTCCACAACCATCCCCAGTCCCACCGCCAAGCCAGACCCTTACCATCATCTTTGAAGACAACCAATCCACCTCTACTTGGCACCCCACCACGGGTCGCCCCTCCGCCAAAAAGGAAGAGGAAAAAAGGGAAAAAGCTTATCCAAACAACACTTCACCTCACCTCCATAAAAACCCAATCCAATCCACCACTATCCCACAAACAAAAACCCAATGGCGAAATCCGCTCGCTCAAGTCCGTCCCCCTCCCCCCCAGCAGCCAGGGAACAAGAATAAAAAACTGATGCCAAAGAACAGGCCGTACAAAAAGCAACAACGCCCGCCTCCGTGCGACCGTTTTTGCGCCGGCAGACGCAGCACGCGCGCAGCGACTTTCGGAGCGGTTACTAGCCGCCGCGAAAGCTCGGGAGGAAGCTAGGATGCAGGTTGAGAGGGAGGAGCAGGTGAATGGTGATGGTGTGTTTCCCCCATTCGATGTGTGTCTGCCGTGTGCTGATAGGGGGTAGCCGCGCGGGAGAAGGAGGGGGAGCGAATGGAGCTTGACGGGGAAGAAGATAAGGAGAAGAGTGCGGGGTCCCTGAAGAAGATGAAGGGGAAGGGTTCCGCAGGGAGGATTAAGAGGCGGCAGACTTCTAAGCATGCCGTTGTTTTCCCCAGTTTGAGGAAGGGGGGAGGGAAGAAGGCGGGGAGGATTAGCAAAAAGTAGATTGTGTGTGGGTGATTTACTGGGCTTGGTAGAGATGAGGTATTCGGCTGATGGTTATTATGATGACGAGGTAAGATACTGAAAGGTGCCCGTTGTTTGAATACTAATATAACCTTTTTATCTGATACCGCTGCTTGTTTGCTTCCAAATAAGTTCACCTTGTCTATCTTCTTTGTGTTGACCATCGCCGCATATCTGCTCCATCGCTATTCGGGAGAACCCCCGTAGGCTCTCCATATAAGTTACATTCTCTATAGACAACTTTTTTCGTTAAAAAGATACAATTTTTTATTCATACTCTCAAAGTTATCTTTTATTCATTCCTCCGTCTCGCCGCAAACAGGAACTCCCTTATGTGGCTTTAAAAAAGACAGCAAAAGTCCGGTATCGTAGAGATGGGAATACCTTATCCACCAAAAACAATGCGAGAATGTAGAGCATTATGAATCCACTGTTCATGGTGAGCCCTGACTAAAACCCCGCCACCATCCCCGATATAACAAGCACGGTATCAATTCCCGACCCAGTCAGTCTAGGGGATCGGCTTCCAAACAGCTCGGGTGGCTCCACGACTGACGACGTCTTCCTATCTCCTCGAACAGCTTCAGCTTCGAGCCCCGGGCATCTGGCATGCTGACGTAACGTCGTTTTTGGTGAAAGCTGCGTTTTCCGGGATTCAAATACTTTGTCAAGAGCGGGTTCGTTTCCTCCGCCATGTTTTGTACTAGAAGCCCGGCATATTCGGCCGCGGACATTTCTCCGCATCCATTGACAATATCGGCTCCGACTCTCTTAGGCGGCTTGTTTTCGGGCTTTTCTCGTTTCTTTTCTTCGCTCTCTCTTAGAGAAACATATTCTAGGCCTTGTAAGAGGTAAAAGTCGGGTGAGCGTGCTTTCTTAATAACAGAAATAGGCATGTTCGACGTAAACGGAGTGCTTCCTGGGATCCAAGGGACTGCTTCAGGATTAAGATACTGGGGCCCAATTGGATAAGGGGGCGGCTCCCCTGGATAAAGAAATAGAGGAGGGGCCACGATGGGATTATAAAACGGACCTTCGTAAGGAAAGCCATATCCTCCGTAAAGGGATGGATACATCTCACTGTGAAGAGTGGCAGCGTCAATGGAAGGTGCTTGCGGAGCTTCCAGCTCGCTTTCAAGGAGGCCCTGGTGGTTATCGTGGATGTGAAGATGTTCCCTGGTTTTCTGGTTCCACTGGTGAAATGAACCCTTACTCATTGGCAACGATTGCCCATCTCTCATATCCGGTGGATTTAGTTGAGTAGAGGGTCTTGCTGAAGCTTTCGGTGAATTCATAAGTGCGTATTCCGTCTGGGTCTGGCCGTCGTGATCGTCATCAGGAAGCTGAATAGTATAAGCTTCGTTCTCGCGCGGGTCATGATATCCAAATAGAAAGTCGTTACTCCAATCCCCATGCCACCCTTCCCCCCTGACAGAATTCCCGCATTTGTAGGAAGCGTATCCTGTAGCCATGAGGAGGGGTTCGTTAATTCTTCGCGAAGTCAAACGCCCGGCTACACCATTTCTGGACCGACTTTCCTTGATTCCCTTGAATGTAGGCGGTTCTTTACCCTCACGTTTCTGTAGAGCGTAAACCTCTCCAATCGTTTGAATCCGGTAGGTTTTCTCCTTGCTCTTTTCTCCGCAGGAGGGTTTCACTTGAGACTTATTTTCAGCATTTGAGGCACCTCGGACGAGTCTGTCGTTGGGTATTGATTTGAGCTCTTGGGTTGGCAGGGGTTTGACTTGAGGAGACATCTTTGCCCTCGAATCAACATTCTCCTTTTTGGGGTGATACTCATTTGGACCGTTTTCCTCCCCCGGCTTCCGCTCTCTGGAGCACACAATCTCTCCTCCATCTTCAGAGTGCCCTGAGCCATCTGAATCCTCACAGAAAAGTTTGGTGAGGTCAACCCGCAAGTAGCTGCGTGGAAAGCGCATCACTGAGGGAGTAGGTCCGGTCGGCCCGTAAACGTGGGATTGTAAAGAATTTTATTAATGGTTGGGCTCGGTAGGGAACTTTCTTTAGCTGTGTGAGGGGGAGGAGTCGAGGGATCTAAAGAACGAAAACTTCTCCGCGGATTGGTCATGGGTAAAAGGACTGGAGACACGCAATGGTACTACATATCACCTTACGACGAGTTCCCGTGATCACTTTATATGAAGGGGGTAGCTAGGTGTGTTTGGATAGTTTCAATAAGAACGCAAAAACGTTAGACAAGACCAACTTCTACGAGTACAAAACCACCCCAAACCGCCACCGAAACCCATGTTACCCGGACATATTCCATTAATAAACAACCATCCCTCTGAAATCCGATCTTCCGGGCCAGCCCCGAATGATAGTATACCCGCCAGCACGGTCATTTCCTCCCAACGAGTTCCGACATTGGTCAAGAATACTCTGGGTAAATCCTGCAGCAGAATCACACCACAACCAGTAATGGTATTCCGCACAGATACCGATCCTTGCGGACAAGAAGCTAATCAACTCCGTGCACGGTGATCCCCCGTTCCTCCATTGGAGGCACTGCGTTTGCCCCCTTTGGCGAAGCCAATTGTTAGCGACGTACACGTGCCAGCTAAGGGGGCTACCCTCAGTTGTCTCGCACTTGGTGGTCCACTCAGCCTTTGGGTTATTTTCGAAGATTGCCGCTCCAGTGGTGTTGTCAGGGGTGAATTCAAGACCGTAGGCCTTAATGACATCGGCAGGAACAGGGCGCCCAGTAACTTTGAAGAGATGGTCCGGGAATTGTGAGAGGTCCGTGAGGTCGCTTGGCTCCTCCATCCAGTTGTCGGGATTTCCGACGGGTCCAGCGATGATAGGGACGACGAGATAAAGGAGGGAAGTAACGAAAGCAAAGACGAAGGACTTCATTTTGAATGTCTCTAAAAAGGCTTTGTTGAAAAGGTTGTTTGAACAGGGGGTCGTTTTTTTTTGGGTGCTGGGTGTATGTTGCCTTGTGGATCGATGGAGAGAAGTGGGGCGTGGTGGATGTGATAAGAGCAAGATGTGGGGGAGAGAAGGGGGGCAGCGGTCAGAGGTCTACTTATAGAGAGAAGGGAGGGAAGAAGCTTCAACTAAGGGCTGATAGAATAGAAAATCTAGATCCTTTGGAACTGCGCCCAGAGCATTAACCTGCTACCCACAAAAATGCCAATACTATGGCAATATCCAAGTGCCCTGAAACCAAACCCTTCTCAGATATTATGACAGTACGATAATAATATTATCATAATATTATTATAAACTATCATATTTGATGCATAGGATCTCACCCGCTGGCAATTGGATGTTGGTAGACGATTGACATCGCAAGAACCCGAATAATCGGCATTTGCTAGGACGTTGGAGCTATTGCCCCTCCGAGTAGGATCTAGTGCTTTTCCCTTTTGATTTTCTCGGAGAATAGGTCTCTTGGTGTGCTTTTCGCCCCCTTTCCAGAGGAGAAAATTTTGAAATATCATACCTGACGTATGGTTCGTTTATTTGAGCTCTCATGGTAGTTACCCTAACAGCACCAACAAGGATCAGTCTCAAAGCTAGTGAGCTCTTCTATCAAGTTGATAGTTCGACAAATATCTTGTAGAGCGAGCGATTGCATCCCACAAAACACGGCTATCTAGATGAAGAACCACAAACAGCTTCCCCTGCGTTATTGGGGCTCTCAAGCTTCTTCTCCCGGATGTCTTTAAACGGATGGCTGAGGGGTCTGCACTCTACCATACCGCATAAGGTTTGAAGTTAACACATCGCATACTTTAAATGTCTCTTGCTCCCTTAAGTTGTATCCCGCCTCAATCATTCATCAAAAGCCTCATAAGGCTAGCGTATGAGAAAGTTGATTGATTTAACTTGCAAATGGCATAACTAAATAACTTACAGGACCGCTACAACTCGAAGGGAGCGCAATACAAGAGGCTTTGCGGCGATGCATCCAGATGCCCCCGGGACCAAGGAAAAGGGAATTGGGAGCTAGATGGGAGTTTAGCTGTGTGGGATCACATCAGGGTCTGCATGGTACGGGGCTTGGTATCACACCTGTGTGGAAGGGACCGTGGAGTGCTTCCCCCACAATCTCCCTGCCGTCCTGAACCAGGCACAAACGGAGGTGCCATGGGGGCCATGAGTGAGAAACCATGATACATGACTAAGCAGCTGGTGCTGGAGAAAATAAAAGCCGAGAAAATGACGAAATGTCTCAACGGCTTGTTCTCCATTAAGCGAAAAACATGGAGACCCAGGATAATGCACCAGTCATTACGGGTAGAACCGTGAAGGAACAAATATTAGATATGATATTCCAAGTGATACACAGCATGCTGTAAGATTGAGCACATTAAATTTCCTGAATGGTTTTTTTCCCTCGTCCATTCTTTTTTTTTTTTTTTTTTTTTGAGGCTGTCGACGCTTTCTTGTCAAAGAGGGAAAGTTTTCGCCGGTGGGCGGCGGTAGTGTACGAGTACATATTGTGCTGAGTGCGAGTTTAGACAGTCCACCGGCAACTGCTCGAGTAAGTAATGTGAGGGCGGGGAGGTGAGCTATGGATGATGAAAGCGGGTGGATGAATCGCCAAGCAATCATGCTGTGCTCGAGTGCAGCAAAGAGGCCGATTGCTCTCTACCTATGACGATTGCAAGAGGGGAAAAAGTTGAACCATTTTACTCATACTGTGTGCTCGTACAGTACACTCAGCTTCTCTTCTTCCTCTCCCCCCTTTTTACTGACAAGTGAACGACACTCGCATTTTGTGATATTCGTCCAGAATATCATCATACTCAAGAGCCTGTTGTGATATCTCGCTCAGTTCTCCCTCAGGGATAATCCGTCTCTGATCTTCCTGTACTGTGCTCGAGTATTTCTCCCCCGATCTCGCCGTCCCTTTTCATCCCCACCCCCTGCGGGTCCCGGCATTCGCCTTGCTGTTTCCCAGCAGTGCATTAATTGATTTGTGTCTCTCGCTGTGCTCGAGTATCGCAGTTGGGGGAGAGTGGGAGGAAAGAGAGGAAAAAAAAGGGGGGAAAGGAAAGTAGGGGCCACCCTGCAGTGGTCGAGCAGCTACCTAGGTTATCATACCGTGATCCTCACCCATCACCACGAGACACTCACGTTACTCCCCAAACCGCCCCCTCACCCTCCTATCAAGTTACCTCCCCACATCCATTATTCCCTCCATACAGTACCGTACCAGTACACCTACGCACTCACACACCAGAAAGACCAACAAACACACCACTCCCACCACCACCACCACCACCACTTGGATCTCCCCCTATTATTATTATTACCATTTTCCTTCCCACACGCATACCTACATAATTTGTGAGGACCCGGCTATTCGTAACCATGGGGAATAACCCCTCCCGAACATCTGCCCAGCCGCAGCAGCAACAGCACCACCACCACCAACATCATCACCTCAACCAGCAGCACTCCACCCCTACCTCACCCCCGATAGCAAATGTCCCCGCCCGTGCCGCATCAACCTCATCATCTCGGACAACAATCAACCGCCGGAATAGTCTTCAGCCGGCACCATCGAAGCACACCAGCGCCTCGACCTCTGTGCCCCCAGAGGACCCCCTCCCCCGCAATGAACCTGCGAGCGCTATCGAAGCGCGCTACATACCCCAGGGGCGACGTGAGAGCATCGCAGAGGCAATCTCATCCGTGCCATGGACTATCATTCATACTACTCCGCGGCCAACCCCTGGCTTTGACGACGAGGACGCGTTGACTTCTCCGACCCTTCGAAAATTGCAGACGGAAAACAGCACTCCCACTGCGGCCGGAGAGGATCTCCCTTCTCGAGTGGGCACCCCACTGTCCGCCGGACCGCATGCCGATCCTTTGACCAAGAGAGGGAGCATGGGATCGACTACCACCGTTGACGATGAAGAAGTAGATGTTGCCGATACGAGAACAATCCCCACACTCGTCCAATGGTTGCAGGGCGGTCACAAAGTATATGTTACGGGCACATTTTCCAATTGGCGGAAGAGGTTTAAATTGAATAGGAGGTTTGCTCCCCTCCCTTCCTCTGCCTTACCCTCCCCCTCCTTGGTGCTAAAGTAATCATCCACAGCCCAGACGACGAGACGCTGTCAGCAGTCGTACCCCTCCCGCCAGGCACCCACCACTTGAAATTTTTCGTTGATGGGGAGATGCGAACATCCGATAACCTTCCTACAGCAGTAGACGACACAGGAATCCTAGTGAACTACCTCGAGGTGAACGCCGACGACATGCCCCCACTCGACCGCCAACACTCTCCACCGTCGCCATCAGGCTCCACGCATCACCCTCACGCTTCGGCAAATCTCCTCTCGAACCTGTCAAAGAAAAAGAAGCGATACACAAAGGAGATACCCGCCTACCTTCGCGATTTTGACGATGGCGGGGAAGATGGTCACAGGATTGGGAATGAAGATGGGGATATTCCGGCGCCGCCCAGCCTACCGATGATGTTACAGAAGGTTATCCTGAATACGAGTTCTGCAATGAAGGGTGACGCGAGTGTGCTCGGGATACCGAATCATGTGGTTTTGAACCACTTGGCTACCAGTTCTATCAAGAATCAGGTTTTGGCGGTTAGCGCTACCACGCGATATCGGAAGAAGGCATTCCCCCTGTCCCTTTCCTCCGCCAAATTTTTTCTTCTCTATTATTTAGCAGAATCTAATTTTTCCCTTTTCCCCTTTGATAGTACGTTACGACGATACTGTATAAATCAACAACGGAATGATAATGGTGACGGAGGCTGTATTTTTATTATTTTTTAGCTTTCTTTCTTTCTTTTTTTTTTTTTCTTCCTTAGTTCTTAAAATGGCTACACTGTACTGTACGGGAAAGTGAACGACCGGGGAAAAAGGCAATCACTAGGAAATCTTAGGCCCAAATATTATCATTAAGAGGGGCCGGGGGACAAGGGAGGGGGACCAATGCATGTATTCAAAATACCATATCTGAATACCCCAATCAAATAACCGAGGTTAACTATATAAATCGCCACGCAACTATTTGCTGTTTTTGTTTTACTTGCAGGGACGTAAATAACGCATCGAGTTAAGTTACCATAGATAGAATCGACACTTATCATATGGGGCCAGGCACTACCGACGCTCTCTATCTGATAGTAATAGCTAGTATGATACTTGTAATCGCAGCTACGATGCTACCGGCACCGATAGTATACTTAATACAGTTTTGCTCACCAATATCATAGCTTATCGGTATGTTATTATTGCGCCTCACGTGTGTGTGAACCCAATTTCATTCTTCTATCTCGTGTATGTGTGCCGTACAGTACGAGTACTCAGGATGGGCGTGGGGGGGGGGGGGGCCGGGGAAGTACTCGAGTACTTGCATCGGTTGGTTGGTAAATTTACTATACTCGAGTACGGGATGTCAAATGTGATATGTGCTATGCCTCTCCGTAACACTGGATTCTAATGCTGCCTACCAAATCACAGTTGGTGGTGGGTGCCCATTTTTTCGTGGTTCTGCTCTTGGTGGGGGGAGTGGGAAGGCGGGAGTTGTGGCACTATGGAGTGCTCGGGCATTTGCAAAAATCGGAAACTGGGGGTGGCAATGTAGGGATTATTTTGCCAATAATCAGAAACCCGGGATACACGCGGTTTCCTCAAAATTCCGCTGGTGTCGTTCCGTGAGGCCCGGGGACTTGAGAGTGTTTTTTTTCTTCTTCCACGGGTGTAGTAAACTGATACTATGACTGGGCCACTTGAGGCTCCAGTTTTGACTTCCTATGATACCCGTTGTTACACTATCTTGTCATATCCACTACCTACCGCCCTCGTCCTCCAGACTCTCCGGTTTCCAGCTCTCAAGGTCATCTTGTCATCGCATGATTAACAAACCTGGACGATCACCTTTTTCCAATTTCATGGACACACCCGAGCAAGTATTGTGCGATACTAGTGACTTAGTTTTTTTTCTTTTTTCTGCTCGTGGTATCATACCCGGGGGGAAGGTATCGTATCATACCATTGTGAATTTCCTATGATAAAGGCTTAAAGGGATTTGCAAGGTTCGTGGGTTTTGGGATTGCCCGGGATCCGGAGGGAGAGAGGGAGAGAGAGAGGGTTTGGGGTGATGCCTGCTCTATAAATTTACCGCATAATCTGGCGAAAACCGGGAAGGCGCTGGTACGATACTTTCAAAATAAGATTTTTATCCCAGCTAGATCATTCTCGAAATCGCGATGTGACTTTCAGGAGCTAACTCTTTACAGCTAGGACCGCACCTACCAAGCCACTACTGGCTCTTTGGCAAATCGTGGGCTTCACTTCAGCCGCTTCTTATTTCAACGTAAAAGTGTCTGCCGGTCTTTCGCCAGGGGTGTTTATGGTTTGTATGATAAGCGCTTTTCGGGACATGATTTGTCACTCGGTGTTTTGTTATCTGTTTGCTTCCGCTACTTAACTACCGTACTGGCTAGTCGCAAGGCTGGTTTCTGGGGCATAGTTGCTAGCGGAAACGCTGCAAGCGCTCCCGTCTGAAGGCTCAATCAATAGTGTAAGGATTCTGCTTATAGTTGCTTCTCGTATATTGGATATTCTCGGAAACCGGTGTCCCTAGTAGCGTTAGGGGTAGCGAGAAGTAAACGTAATTCGTTCGAACAAAGTGTGGTGTATGGGAGCGGTGTCTTGGCCACGGGTGATGGCTGCGGGGGGGGGGTTGTTTTGTCGGGTACAGCAGAGTCGTTTTAGGTCGGGCTCGCATGTGGGAAAAGCTCTCTATCGTGATATATTTACCTGGAAGTGGGTTTGACAATATCATCAATTTTGGTTTAGAGTTGTGCTAGTATGATAGTTGTCCTCTCATTTTTAGCTGCTTGGGGATTCCCAAGCCCACTCCAGCTTGACTTCTCATTCCATGGCAAGGGCGTGCTGATATCAAATTCCCCTTTACGGAAATGGCTGCATAAAATTTCTAATACGGATAGTTGAAGCATTTCTAGCGACAATTAAATTCAATACGCTTAATAGGTGTTTTCTTCTTCTTCCAATCCGTTTTCTAAGATTTAGTCTTCTATTCAATGGTTACTGAGAGAATTGAAAGAAGTAGCTTGTGAGCGTTGAGAATAAAAGCCTCTGGTGAGATTATCAGTTGCAGTCTTCCAGAGCTCTTGCTTAACCACTATATCCAAAACCCGGAACGTGCATCTTCCAAACCATCAATTACGTAATTGTTCACCAAATCGGGTTCATCTTCCTTCACGCCTTATACCCGAGTACACCATGTCCACCATCCAGCTTCCCCATGGTGACATACACGAGCTACCGGCAAGCGAGCCAGATCCGGTTCAGTCAACGCACGATCCGTCTTCTGCAGCTTCTAGTGATCCTGGCTTGTTAGGAACCAGAGACCCAATCACGAACCAGCCATTCGCCGCTCCTTCCTTACTTAGCGGCGTGATCCATAGTCGTATTTATAATATCTATGGCAGAGTTCGGTTTGATAGCCCCTCAAACCCTGGTGCAGCGATTTCCGGAGCAATTAGAACTGGGACCTGGAGAGTTGAGGAAGGTGGCCGGTTGGTCGAGAACGTGTTGGTGCTTACTCCTGATGAGGGACCCGAACCTATTAATACTGCTACTCTACCAGATATCCCTTCGGATTCTCAGGAGGATAGCCATTCTCATAACGGAGGTAGTAGAAATTATGGCGGTGATGAAAGCGGAGACCTCGAGGTGATGTGGTACGAGGGAGAGGAGTATTTTGAGGAAAGACGCCGCGATAACACCGGGCGAGTGGTATCGTCAATTGTAAGTATAACAGATCCAATGGATAGCTGTCTGAAGCTTGCATTAACCCATTGCAGTTCCTCCCGCTCCTTCCTGTTACTCTTGAGACCAGTAGGAATGACCTTGCTGGTCGTGCCACTACTACCGGAGACCGGGGGCAACGTGATAACACAGCTCCAATCTTTCTCAATGCTGCCGGAGAGATAGACATAAACCTCATCCCTCACGCCCCAAGAACTGACCTCCCCCCCCCTCCTCCTCTGATCCCATTGCCGAGACTCACGGAGGAACCGCCAGCAACTTGGTTTGAGGGCATGAGTGAAGATTCCAGGTGTCCTGTTTTGTTTCAGCCCGACTATGTCGTTGAGTACTCGTTCCCGTGCGGACACGCGCTTTGCAGGTGGTGCTATGAGCAGATTTGTCTGCTTTCGAGTCAGCCGGTTTGTCCACTTTGTCGGAGGCGGATTTAGGTGGAGGGTGTAAAGTTTACTACAAGAAGGCAAAGAGATAGTAGTGGGCGCGATTCAATTTACCGTATGTGTTTTCTCCCATCATATGAGCTGGGCTACCCCATTTATAGTGAGTATGTTGGAGTTGGAATGGCGATATTTGGTTGTCTGGTGTTGGAGCTGCGTTAAGGTCGGTTATGATTTGATACACCTGGGTTTGTTATTGGGGGGATGGGGTATTAGAAATGAGTGCGGGTTTTTTTTTGTATCATACGCACATCCGTATACTCTTCCCTCCCTGGTAATTGACTGCTTTTCCCAGAGGCAAGTTTCTGGTTGTAACGGGAATGACGGGTAGACAAGGCTTCCAAGGTACACACCACTCCAGGAGCTGGGGGGAGACTACATCGAGAATAGGACTGAGAACAAGACCAAGGAAAGGACCAGACAGGGAACAGGGCCAGGAACAAGAAAACAGAACTGTAGACAGTACTGACGACGGGAGGAAAACCCAGGAACAAGAGAAACTGGATGACGGAGGATAGACTAATCAGCAGACAGAACAGAGGGTGGTTGTTGAATGGTTAGATGTACAGGAAGAGATAACAGGTTGCATGAGGAGAAAAGAAAGAGGAAGAAGGAGAAATAAGTAGGAGGAGAGAAGAATTGTAAACCAACAGGCACCATAACAAGAAAACATGGTGTTGCCCTAACAAATATGCCCACCCAGGGCAACAGGAGCTCCTCACATTGTAAAGAATATCATTCATAAAAGGCTTAAGCTGACTTTCATAAAAGAACAAGGGAAAGAAACAAAAGAAAGAGAAGGAAAGAAAAGATAAGAAAAGAAAAGTAAGGTGAGGTAAAATAGAGTGGTGAGAAAGAAAGAAAAAAGGAAAGAAACAGTATATATATTATGACTGTTAGGTGGAGACAAACTGATAAACTTCAGAGTTGTCTAGGCCAACCAAGATGTGTTTCTGTAGACGGAGATTATCTAGGAAGGCTCGGATTTCATTCGTTTCATTTATGACTACTAAGAGTGAAGTAAAGTAGGAAAAGTAGAGCAGAATCGTGAAGACAATATTTTATTGTTAAGGTTTCTTCTCTGTTGATTGATGATGTCTAAAAGCTTGAGAGACACTTCAATATTTATATTCCACGTCTAAGTGTTCACGGACTACAGCTATCTATTATACAACTATGTACCTCTCTGATTATAACTCACAATGTTGAGTATTCTTCAAAAGATGTAAACATCTGAAAAGCCTGAAAATTACCGTACCCTTTTCAGTAATTTCAATATTGCTAACTAGGAACTGTGCTGTTCTCAATAGTAATTATCTGATCATCAGAGTCTTTAGACTTATGCCCTAGTTCTCAAGTCGAACTGAGTTGATCCCAATTGACTCCGTCGTTGATGAAATGATCAGTTTTATCTGCGGGTTGTATCTGCAGAGGTAGTGGTAATTGTAAACTTCCTAAGTCATTTGACTTCAAACCTCTATAACTCCATATCCAACCAATAGATATCTTCCAGATAACTTCCTACTAATTCACAAGAAGCTATTCTACCAGATTGATAGATAATCCCTCAGTTAGCAACTCCTAGTTGCTCTGAGTAGTAGGGTTTCAATGGCCATTCTAGTATTGTAAATTATTCCCGCAACCATAGCGTATTCTTGGATTCAGTTGTAACACTCTGTGAAGTCCATTGACTTCTGTGGTAGTATTCTTCAGAGTT